AGGTGTAGTGTCCGACCGGACCCGTCGTACCCGACGGACACGAGTTGGTTCGCAGTCTCCCTGTCCACCCAATACACCCGTTTGGCGTTTATGTCGATATTCAGCGAATTCTTGGCCACAAGTGTCGCACCCACGAGAACTTGAACGCCCTGTCCCTCTACGGAGGCCCTCATTATTTGGCTTTTGTCGTAAGTCTCACTATAGGAATACTTGTCTTTGACATATTCCGACCAAAACAATAGCGACTCCAACGGATCCAGTCGTATGTCTTTTATGACACATTTTTTGTGGCGGACTAAATCCTTCACGGCCAGCCCGCGGCAATCCAAGCGGCGTATTTACGGTAACTATAGTCTCAAACGCAATGTCTGCCCTTTCATATCCTATAATACTTAGGTTAGTTTACGATCTCTAAAAACAAAAAGGGGAATCGTGAGTCATATTTCAGGAATATTCTTGAGATTTTGGTCGACATTGACTATCGGTTCCGTGTATATAGTGGTCCTCGTGGGTGAGTACATACTGATAGACTTAATGGCAATTAAATATTTACCAAGATAACTATAATCAAGTGAATTCACGTATTGAGAGCAATTCTGTACGTATTGCGAGTCACTGTAATATATCGTGCGATTCTGTATGAGTTTCGCGAGTCTTATGTCTCTCTTATTGGACACAAACATCACTAACGGATCAGATGTGGACATCAGTTGTGACAAAGCGCTCGAGTTTTGCTTAAATTCTGGGATCTCTTGTGGTGAAGGAATGGCTACTTTGGGTGCACTACAGGAGCCCATAGTCTTGGAGTCGGAACAAAGACATCGATAGCCTTGCCTACCATTGGGGAGACATATGTGTTGGCAGTCATTGTTTAGGCAATAATTGGTTCCGTTTTGCTGTTTCTCTGAACTCATAATTCTTGTGAAGTCTATCCTCGACGTCGAGTTCACCACTGTTTCCACCGCTGAAGTCATTGTCTGATCATTCAATTTGGTTCTCAATACTTGTTTGTCTTTAGGCGACGACCAATATATGGATCCATTGAACACATCCATTGATGAACAGTCGCTGAAGAGTTGTTTGGATTGTCTCAAAGTCTTGCGATTATTGCCAAAGAAGTCAATCGATGACAACGAATGCAACTCATTGTCGATCCAAACAATGGTTTGTGTCTTAAAGTCAATACCAATACAAATCGGAAGCCGAATGTCTTTATAGACCAGAATCTGGGGATCACTTCCGTCTTCATTGCATTTCCTAATAACTGCCGATCCGTTGGAAGTCATATACTCTGACCACA